GAATATAGTGCAGAGGTATACAAATGCAACACCATATATAGTAACACCGTGATAATATGCACACAGGTATCCATGGGAAGCAACACAGAGCATTCCATTATCAAGCACCCCGTCGACACCGACGACGACGACGATAAGGACGTCGACTTATCCCTACAAACACGTCACAAATCTGTTTGCAACGACAGTGTCAAAATATACGCGGACAATTATCAATAACTTATACACCGATCAGTACAAGACTAGATACAATAATAATAATAGTAACAATAGTAATAGCAGTACTGGTGGCGGCTTCAGCACTACCACCAGAAGAAGCAATTTTTTCAACTCATATTACACCGTCAGTACCACTCCAAAGATCACTTACGGTCCAAAAGTTAGTCCATTCAAGTATAAAAACACGGTGATATCGTTTTCCACGACGACCAAAGGATATCAGAACGGCCTTCGAAATGACGGCCGCGGTAAGAGAATTCTGAACTAAATCCTGTATCACTGCTATATCTTTTTCTATCTTCCGACTTTTACGTCGAGTCGTTACTTAATTTTGCATGATCGTCTCTTGCCGTTAATGTAACAGATTCTTGAAAGCCGACGATCTTTTTCTCTGTGTCTTTTCTATTTCTGTCATCTTCTCCGGTAGAAAATTCTGCCTGCGAGGAATTTTTTGAGAGACATTGGTCCCGATACGTCTCTCTCCATTATTGTTTCATCAGTCTTCTGATAATACTTGGCAATATTTGATGTTTTATTATTTTGTATAATATATGTGTATCTTCTCTATGTTTCGTCTAATGTCACTAATGAAATATGAAAATATCATAAACTGAATTTTCATCATGCAATCGATCTCACAAATCGATAAAGGTACTTTATACCGATTATCGAAAATTCTGTTTTGTTAACACTGGCTCTTCAACTTCATAGAATGTAATAATATCGATTAAATTAACTCAGAGTTTCAACAGTTTATCTTTTTCATATACAATATTTTATATGTATATCTTTGTAAATATCTTCTATCGGATCGATCTTTAAATACGTTACAAATGAAGATTATAACGTTGTTCAATAGAAGTGATAGAAGATACTCTTGTATCTTCGATAAAGATGCATATGAGCATCGTAAACGTGTATACATCTCTCGTTTTTTATATCTCTTTGCAACAAATTCACTAGCGGGACAGTGATACCTGAATATATGTGATACCTGTATATACCTAATAATACGTTTGTGTATATATATATAATAAAATCTATGGACGTAAAACCGATGATAAGTGTATTATATAATAGTTTCTATGAATAACTAATTATTTTTTTTACCTACAATGGTCGAGCTGAATCTTTAATGCTTAAATCATTTAATGTGAATTTTATATATATATAATTCAATGTAAATTTTATATACACACATATATATATATATATATATATATGTATATAAAATTTACATTGAATTATTATCGCATTTATAATTTCTAATTCATATTGATTGTGTTCTCACATGTACAGTCTAAAATAAGATTCTTATTGTTTAATAATTTTATTGTTGCACTAAATTCTATTTCAGGCTGATACACTGAAAAAAGAGATTGGCTGCTGCAACAATTTAGATGGTAAAATATGGCATAGCATTTTTAATTGGCTCAAGTTTTGGTTGCGTTAGCCTATCCGCAATGTTAGTATATATAATTTTATAGACCACCGACGAGATACTATTAAAGATTATCAATCCTGGACAAATTTTCAACGGTATAAAAAAGGCTTCAAGATAATTGGAGAACGCTGACATTATCAACAATTGATATAAATTTGCTATTATTAACATAAATATTTGTATAACTAATATATTATTAAATTTATGATTTTTTATTACATAAATGCTCCATAAATAAATATGCATACTTGTACAGTTATAATATTCTATATATGAAAAATATTCTATTGATGAAAAATTACAATTTTTTTTCTCTGCAGTTATCATCTCTGTTGGTAATCAGACTTTAACTGATCACAACGATAAGGAACACTGAAATCACAATTTTAAAGAAAAATCGAGTATTATTGAATTTTAAATGCATATACACACATTGACAACAAACACGTTTACTAAAGCAATAAATCAAAAAATTAGTACAATATTATCAATTTTTTACTCTTAATCACTTTAATATAACAAAGATCGAACTCCCGTAAGGATGTCAATCTTTAATAGTATCTTGTCGGTGAATAGGCTAACGCAACCAAAAATTGATTGTTGCAGCCAATTAAAAATACTATGCTATATTCAGCCAATTTTTTGTTTCAGTGCATGCATCGTCAGTAAATTATTTTAATTGAACGCTATGTATTCAATTGAATTCGCATTTCGCATATCAATTCATTCGTCTTGTTTCCAGGAACAGAGGCCGGTGAATGCACGGACGTGGGGTCAGATTGCGCGGAGCTGATTGACAGGCTAAGAACATGGCTGTGCCATCTACAATCTGTGAAGAGTCGCTGCTGCGCGTCCCTGAAGACGATCTGTGCTGACTAAATAATAACACTAAGGACAAAAAATAAGAAAGAAAAAGAAAAATCAATTCGATAGTTTACTTGAAGACGTCGCGCTTAGACGCCCGCCACGGATGACGATTTTATTAGGCGCCCTATCGCTTCTCGCCGTCGTAACGCAGCATCCGGAAAAGCGCCGCATCGGAAGGAGTTCGGGAAAGATCTTTCGCGCTTGTCAACTCTTTCTCTTTCTCTTTCCTTTTTTTCGCGGATAGACGAGAAAATCTACGTTAGATCCTCGTGCGGTTCCTCGATCGCGATAATCACATTGGACTCTTATAGCTGTAGCTGCGTGTCTCGCATACTTCCAGACGTAATTTTTACAGTACCAATTTTTTCGGTACCAAGATTGTACCGAACAATGTAGTGAATCTCTAAAAAGGAATGGATTATCAATCGGTACGATAGAGATTTCGGCTGCGTTCATATTTATTCGATAAGAAGCGATCTCGCGAAAGACTCGTTACACAGGCACAGGTGCGTATATTTTTCGCGAGCGTAAAAACGCGCGTGTGCGCGCGCATATGAAAGCCATTCGGAATTTACGGAAAATGTATAGCGCAAGACAATAAATGGGAATAATTAAAACATTCTTTCTTTTTCTCCTACCCATATAATAATATATAATTTATGTAATTATATTTATAAATTATATAATTAGAGAGACATAAAATATTTGTGAAAGTCTGGGATATTTCGCAGAAAGGAAATTTTTACATCATTCTGTATATTTCGTACATTTTAATTTGAAAAAAAGATGATTAATAAATTTCAATTGAAAAATATTTTGTAGGCAACTATACTGTAACTTTCCAACTTGCGAATTAAAAGTTATTGTTATTATGAATATTTATTTATTTAATTAAAGACAATAGTATTTATGTTAAAAATCACATTAAAATCTGAAAAATAGATACATAAAAGAATGCAATCTGAGTTTTCTTCAAATGTATAATTGATAATAGATAATAGATACATGGAAAGAAACTAAATGATTTTATTAGAGCTTTATTAAAAAAAGATTAGATAAAGACTGGAGTAAAGTAGTGATTTTAGAAAAACACGAAAACGATTCATATGTAAGTGAAAATCAAATAACATTATAATTCTCGAAACATTTCAGTTGCAACAACAGTAGTCATTAAGATTTCTAATAAGATAGAGCTGCAGATGATTGATTGATTCTGAACGTCGCTATGTTTCATGTAACGTGCTGCTTATGCACATAATATTTTTTATTCAGCATTTGTTAATTGTCGTATCTGCAATCGGCGCGGATCTGCAATGAAGTGATATATGTGAATGTACCTCACGCATTATAGATGCATATCAAAGTTCATAAGCATGTGATAAATGGTTTGTTTCCCAGTCGATTCGATGTCGATTCCATTATCAATTCTGATTGAACAAACAGACGCAAAAATATTTCAAATGTCAATAAACGAAGCTGGAAAAATTTAGAAAAGCGTCCTTCGAGAAAAAAATAATTATTTATGTAAGACAAGATACTTTGTATCTTGGACAAGTATACATAAACCAGATGTGGATCAACGTTCCGATATCACGATGTCTTGACGCAATTAGTGTATTATCTTTTTCTTCTGTTCCTTTTCTTTCTTTTTCTCGAGGAGAATTACACGATTATCTTATTTATTAATATCTTTTTGAAAATAAAAATGTTTAGCGTAAATGAATTCCCTATACCTGTTTATTCTTCAAGTACCTTAACGATTCTACTCAATTAGTTAATCAATTAATTCATTATTTTATTCTTTAATCAATTTGACTTCCTTCGTTTTATCTTTTTATTTTTTATTATTCTTTCTCATAAATTTTTATTTCCTTTCTCATAAACAAATAGTTTAAGTGTAATATATTTTTATTTAAAAATGCGAACACAATTGGAGCAAAAAATTTGAGCAGTAAACAATCCCCCAATTTGATCATCGACAGAACATTTAATTCATCATCAGGTTTTCGTATGTTGTCACACACAAGAATTATGAATTTGTATAATTCTTTCTTCATTATCGTGTTCGCGCGCAAATCATTCGTTATATGTACAAGTGTTTTTCCGTTTAATCGCGAGCATAGATCAAATATCGATCAGTTAATTTATGTGAACTATTTACGTGAAATAGCCTTTTTTGTATTCGGGCTCTCTCGCTGGAAGATCGAAATATTCATGAATATCGAGACAACGAGAGAGATCGCAGCTTTATATTATTTGATGCCGAACAGTTCATTTCGTTTCGGAAATTACGAGAAATTCGAAGATCACCTTTCGCTAAGATATTATAAAGAATGTTCCGTGCGATATTTCTATTATGCCTGGCTGGAATATCGTTTTCACGATGCAAACAGGTAACGTTTAGAATAAGTACAAACGCCTAATTCAGTTATCGTTTTATCCGCATAAAAGAAAACTGCGAAGCTATAGAATGTTAGAAAAAAGGACATATTTTCAGCTTCACGAGTACATGACGCTGAACGAAGTGATGTCCATTTTTAACAAGCCACATCATCTTGGTGAGTGACAAGGTTTCTTTTTACAGAAAGATCCTTTTATTTTCATAGTACTTTTTCTTAAAAATTATACAAATTTTTCTTAGATCAATAATACTTAATTAATAATATTATTATTGCAATTATAACTTATTACAAAATAATAGCATTAAATTATATGTATATAGTTCGTATATTCTCAATTTATATTAACTTTCAGTACCTGAATATGAAGTGGTGCCTGTATTGCATCGCATATCGAAGAACGAGGAAATGAAAGAAAATATAAATGAACTCAAGATAAAGGTTTTCAACGATGACATCAACTTATACTTGAATCCCACGGAAGGAATCCTTGCTAGTAAGAATACACCCGTATGGACCGTTTCATCTAATCCAGAAGCACCCGAAGGATTGCAATACAAACAAGTACCCAAGGTATGTGTCTTTCAACTCTTATATCTTTACAATAGTAAAAAAAAAAATACTATATGCGAGATGGATTTATGAAAAAATGTCTTTCTTATTATTACTTTCTCGTAGGCTATGGATTCTGTAGGAGTCATTCTTCAAGACGTACGCACTTCGAGTTCAGTTTTGCTAACTCCTACTCCTGACGGTCAAGTTCATTTGGTAAGGATTCCAATTGCATCTCAAAGTTGCGATCGAAATCAAATAATTTTTCTTTTTTTTAATATACATATGAATGTAAATCAATAACGCTTTTCTTTCTGTAGAACGGAGTGCTTAACAATACATACGTCATCAAATCTCTGCCGCGACGAATATTAGATCATGTTCTTTACGGAGAACGCAAACTCTTTGACCTGCTTCATGAGAAGAATGTGACGAACAACGATAACCTGGCTTACACGCATCATCACGTAGTGTACAAAATGCCTTCATCAGATCAGAAAGATTTTAGTAAGCTATTTGAATACTTACATAAAAATTTCACGTATGCATTCCCTTTTAGATTCACTCAAATTTCAGTTCGGGCAGATTTCTTATTCAATACTCTTGTGGTTCTTCAGAAATTACAGATCCTGAGGACCAAGAAGTGAAACGCAATGTTCCGGACATCATTTATCCAGAATTTTTAGTAGTAGCAGATTACAGTATATATCAGTAAGTGAAATATATGCTGCTAATTATATAACAAATAATCATAAATTTTATAATAAATATACATTATTATTTTTTTTATAAAATATTAATTTTTCTATTTATTGCAGATTACTTGGCGGAAATATCGAGCAAGCCATAAGATACCTCGTTTCGTTTTGGAACGGAGTCGATTTGAGATATCGTTTGCTAACTACGCCGAAAATTCGGCTTAATATCGCAGGAATAATCATAAGCGTTGTAAGTTTTAGCTTAATATTCGAATAGGAGAGACTGGGGCTGATTCAGCTGGTTGTCATACGAGGTTGATTATCAAAATGCTTATAACTCAAACAGAATGTGGCAGAAAAATTTTTTTTTTTACTGTACATTGCTGATATAATATTAATTTGTTATGTAAAATGATTTGCGCTACAAGCATTGTATATATTATTTATAACGATTTTTAAGAAAATGAAGTTGATGAGTAAATTTTTCTTATCACCTATTTTATTGTCTGACAAGTCTTTGGGATTATTAATTGCAATATCCTTATATTCATAGAAAATGACATATCTTAGAAGATCTGTGTTACAATTAATTAATCATTATCGTGATAAAGTTTGTAAATACAATCTCTTTTATTAAAAATGGCTATGTAGAATAGATTGATCAAAATAAGACGAAATTAGTTTAAATAATTAATTTTAATATCTTTAAAAAATACATTTTTAGAGAATATACTTATAGATATATTATAGACATATATGTTTTTTTATTTTTCATATAGAGACTACAGTACAAAAAACAAATTAGTATTTTATAATTAAAATAACTATTTTATTTGAATTAATACTATAATTACTATTATTTCTCAAAATATAGAACTGATATTAAAATAAAAATTGTATTTTTTATATGTGTTGTCCATAACAAATATGCTACTGCCAATCCTAGAACATGTAACAATCAATCCAGAATAGGAGTTAATTGTCACATTTTCGCAGCCTCATTTAAAATTAAATAACTTATTTTTACGATATAATGAATTCACGAATAATATTTTTTTTAATACCTAAAGGATAAGTACATTATAACGTAAATATATTATAACGTGCATAATATTTCAAAATCAGGCATGTACTTTTTTCTAAAAATCACTAATTCAAAAACTCTGACAATTGGCTCCTGTCTCCCCTACATTCAAATCCTTCATTATATTCAAATACACGTGTATCACATATAAATATCTTTTAATTATTTTACATCAAAATTTAAAAGAAGACAATTTCTGAGTTAAATAATATTTATAACATGTTTGATATATATATATATATATATATATATATATATATATTATATATTATTTTTAATGTCATTTATATTTTAGGACAAGGATGCAACTCCATATTTAGAAAACAATCGTTTCGAAGTTTCATCCCTAGATGCGGATCGTGCTCTACGCAACATGGGAGATTACTTCTATCGCGAGAGTAGATTCCCAACAGATTTTTACGACATAGCGATCGCTATGACAAAGTAAGTACCTGTCCAGCAAACGAGAATGGATTAAAATGGATTGAAATGTTTTTCTATTCAAATGTATATTTTAAATAGCGAATACTTTTTTTTGAATTTAATTGAATTTAATTGGATTCAATTAGATTCAATTGGATGCAATTGGATTGAAAAACCGCATTTCCTATTCAAAATTTTGAATTGAATAGTATTTACAATTTGTGTTTTGTGTGTGTATGTGTGTTGTTGTTGTATTGTTGTTGCACAGAAAAAGCTAATATTATTTTTAGATTGAAAGATATCAAGATATGCAATTCCTATAAATGAATAAAAATGCATTCAGGATTGAAAAGCATTCATTTTAACATTCGTGAATCAATATTTCTGAAAATCTGAATCCATTTCAATTCATTTCAATCCACTCTCTTGAACAAAAAAAATAATACAATCCGATATAATTTCAGTCTAGATTTGTGCAATATGATTACTGATGACTATTGCGAGCCATCGACTTTGGGTAAGTCTGCCAAGATAACGTATTATATGACAAATGCGGCTCTTTCCGTATTTCTTGTATTATTAATTATCCTTTGCAAAAATATAAAATAATGATAAATTTTGCGGCTGCAGGTTACGCATACGTAGCCGGTGCATGCAACAGAAACAAAACAAAACAATCATCCGAAGCCGTAGGAATGATTGAAGATAATGGTGGATTTTCCGGTATCATCGTAACTGCTCATGAAGTCGGTCATCTGTAAGTTAATATATTTGCATGCATTTTATAATTTTTTCTGTCGTCGTAGAAAGAAGCTCGTAAAAAATTGTATTTTTAATTTTTGTCAGAAAGAAGATTCTATACGATCTAAACGAGAAACACATGAATTATAGCTTCTGTGTCATTAAAAATAGTATAAATATAAGGAAGAAAAAGATACACAATATTTCACGGTATAAAATTAGAAATTATTCAATTTTCAATTTGGAAGTTCGATAATAAAAAGATTTTTTTTACATTGCAGGATAGGGGCACGTCACGATGGCAATCCGAAGGGCGCCAGAGATTGTCCAGCTAATGATGGTTTCATCATGACCAGCGGACTGATGTTGGATGAGAATGGCTTCGAATGGTCGCCGTGCACCATAAATGCCTTCTATAATTTCATCAAGTACATATGACACGAACGTAAGAGCATATTTCTTTTAAATAAAATATATTAATTTAAGAATTTATTTATTTTAGCCAGGATAGAGCAAAGTGTCTTTACAACGAGCCCATAATGGGTGAACCTGTGACGCGTATTTTGCCCGGGACTTTGATGTCCTTGGATGATCAGTGTAATAAGGTCTTCGGAACAGCGGCGTGTAATGTAAGCTAACATACATATAATTTCGATATATATAAAATATAAAAAAATCAACTTTACTATGAAAAAATTTTGAGAACATTTATAATGCACATTTTCTTTATAGAAAGACACCACAGCTTGTATTCGTTTGGACTGTGAATATCCTGGAATTGAGGGCTACTGCAGAGCGACTGCACCAGCAGCGGAAGGTTCTTCTTGTGGTGACGGCTTGGTGAATTTTGTTATCTTTATTTTATTTTGAACACTGAATTTCCCAACGAGAGTCCCAGCAAACGAGAATGGATTGAATTTTTTTTCTATCCGAATGCGTATTTTATATATATGAATTCACAATAGTGTTTTTACACAGAAAAAGCTAATATTATTTTTAGATTGAAAGGCATAGAGATATGCTCCATGCAATTCCTATAAATGAATAAAAATGCATTCAGGATTGAAAAGCATTCATTTTAACATTCGTGAATCAATATTTCTGAAAATCTGAATCCATTTCAATTCATTTCAATTAGGTTCTTAAAAAATAGCTATTATTATTAATAATGTAAAAATAAGATTGTAAGAAATATTTACTGTACAAATTATAGTTCCTGACATTATTATTAACTAATTATGATATATATTAGCGCTATACAGTATAAAGTATTTATCTAATACTTTTCTAGATCTGTCTGAATGGTAAATGTGTACTTGAAGGAATATTAACCAAGGAAAAGGATAATGAAAAGAGAAAATTACTCGAAAAATTCCTACCGAAATTCAATTTTCAAGCGATTAGAAAAATTCCATGGATAAATTTATTGAAATCATTGAAGAACAAATTAAAGAAGAAACTCTTCACATGATAATAAATATAAATGTTGTCGAGGTAAAATCAATTCAATGAAACTATATTTTTATAAGTGCTAATACCATCTGAAATTCATTGAAATTATATTACTAACAAAAATAAACATTTAATCTTTTTTTATTATTAATAATTTTATAATCGTATTTGATTTTTTAATTTTTATCTTTAATTTTTGATATTTGGACTCAATTTTCTGGCACAAGATAAAACTTCATGATAAACAATTAAATATTCTTTTTTAAAGAAATATTCTAATTTATATTCTATATTTAATTATATAATTTATTTTACAGGGAATCATACACGCTGATATGTCTATGCTCTAATTACTGAAACAGGAGTACTATATAAGAACAAAAAGGGGTATTCTTTTAAGAATATATGTTATATCCTGATTGAATTTTTTCAATCCTCTATACACAGCAGTTTATGCTTGTAAATGTAGAGAAAGATACATATACCAAAATACTGTAATATTTCACATACAAAAAATTAAACTATAATCATATTTCCTTTTAGTTATACATAATTAGACAAACAAAAATTTCACTTCTTAATATGTTACAAATTTATCAATAGTGCAGATTTTTTTATATTAGACTCTCAATTATAAATTAAATTTTCAGTGAAATTTAATTTTAAATTGTCAAAATTAAAAGTGTTTTCAATATTTTCATTATCCTATAACCTAAATACAAACTTTAAAATAACTGTGGAAATACAACTAATTGTACTGATACTAATTGTACTGATGGCTTTAATATTAAAATCCATAATCAGAGAAAATATAATAGTATTGAAATACTTTGTGTAATGCAATGCACTGTAAAAAAATATAAACGCACAAAATAAATGTTGATTTGTCTGCTATAATTAAAAATTGTTAAATAATATTGCAGCATATCCTTAGCAACTTAAACTAATTCTATTTAACTCAGCACAAGTGTTTTTACATATAATTTTTGCAATAAACTTATATATTATATATATATACTTTTTTCATACATATATGTAAATAAACTCATATAATACATAAATTATATTAATCATTTTAACACAAAACATTTCACTTATTCATTAAATACAAATATGATTTTACATGTAAGGAACTAAAACAACAAACAAATACTGTATAATAATTACAAAACCTTCGTGAACCAAGATCTTTATCATTGAATATTATACAGTCGTTGAATCGATGCCTATTTCCTCATAAAGCTCATCTTTGTTACCAGGATAACTTTCCAAAATGCAGTCCAGTATTTCAACGCATATCTTTTTTCTTTTTAAATATTCGCGTGAGTATTCATCTAAATTCTCTTGTGCTTTTCGTTTAGATTCTTGCAAATCTTCAGAACCACTTTTTTCCATTAATTTATCCAATTTATGTGTTAACTGCTTTACATTTTCCTGTAGAGCAATTTTTTCTTTTTGAACATCTTCCAGCGTTAAACTTGACTTTAGAGAAGCTAAAAGTGTCTCTTGTTCTTTCACTTCTTTCATGACTTCCTGATATTTAGTTTCAATCTCATTGGCATGACTTTGTAGTTCCTTGTCAATCCTCATTAACTCATCAGTGTCATACCGCGAATCTTGCACAACACAATATATTTTCTGTTTGCCATAAACCTAAGGATAAAATAAAAACATACATATTTTAAATATTCTACTCTTGTAAAAGTTATAAATTTGTTTTTACTTTTTCGAACAATTTTCCTTTTGTCACCAATTCATCCATAGCCTTTTGAATTGCAGTTTTACTGTGTTCATTAAGTAAATTCGCGACTACATCATTCACGCTGTAAGGTCTATTTTGCATTTTCATGTAATTATACACAGCTGTCGTAGTCATGATGGTTGTATCTCTTTAATTAACTGCAATATAACAATATATATCTCATATCATAACACAATTATTAAAGATATCACAAAAGGCTCAATATTTTAAAAACAACTAATTACAATAGATTACATGCGAAATTACAAAAAATAATGCAATATACACACCCACATATAAGTACACATAAATTAGATAGATACAGAAAATCATAAGTACTGTTTACAAATTAGCAAGCAATACATCTAATAATAATAAAAAATTACTGTAATTTTGTTTGTCAATTTGACTTATTTCATTCATTTGTTTACTGCTTTGTAACCACAACATGTACAACAATGCAAAAAACCGGACATTCGTCAGACATTTACTGGCAGAATACTTGCGAAATACATAGTCTCTCCACTTACTCCAAAAAATATTAGTGTCAGTCTTTATATCACACAGAACAGTTTGTCCAAATTATCAAATAGAACGTAATTAAAAAGAAGATAATCAAGGCTGAGTACGCGTCTTTTGGTAACCTCAAAATTTTTCGAAATTACTAAAATAAGATGCGAACTAAATCTAATTCAAATTTCGCGCTTTCCAAGATAACAATAAAATAAAAGATAAACATTAAAAACCTTTCGATAGATCATGGAACGCAGTACAGCGTTTATTTTCGATGAGCTTTGGAACGCGGAGTAATTAATTTGTTTACAGAGTCCTCTATCGGATAGTTTTTGAACTTTTTAGTAATGTACTTTTCCAAAAGAAGTCGCTTATTTTTGCTTGCGTGATTAGGACTGTTTTTTATTGCTGCACTTTCTGAACTGGTACACACAATACAATACGTTTGTTTCACTTCAACTTATTGTATCAGTTCAGAGTACAGCAATAAAAAACGGACCAATTGTGTTCCAGAACTCATCCTAAAGCCTATTCTACAATGTGCTCCTTGTTTCCTGTTTCTTGCTTTTTACTTCTTGCTTTTTCTCCCTTTGCAACCATTTTATCGACAATTGCATTTCTTATTAAGTGTTTCTTGCTTCTTCCGAAGTTCATCAACTTTTATCTTGGGCGACAAAACAAACAATCGGATAAGAAACAAAAAGATGTAAAATATAGCAAAAAGCAGAAAATAGGGAATCGATTCTGTATCTTGAAACGAGATGAAAATTACAAAAGTGAACGAATTTATTAGAATACTAATAATTTCATTGGTCAACATCTAGTAAATTTGCTCGCTTTTAGACAATTAATATAAATTTTAAAGTATTCATTGTGCTATTTGTTTTTACGAAAAACATGGAACGAAAAGAAAAGATAAAGAGATCATTTAACAATTAAGAAATGACATATGACATAACATAAGATTAGAGTAAATTTTTATAATGTGTAATTTTTCCTATTGAGCGGTTTAAATCACTTGATTCATTTCATTTAAGCAATCTTTTGAAAAATTATATATATATATTATATTAATATTAGAGGGTTAACTTTTGTCAATCGACTGCGCGTCAAAGAATTTTAGTCTCACGGCGCATAATCCATCCGTACAATGCACAGTCCATATGGATGGCCGAAAAAGATGGCCGCCTTGATTCCGAGGTATACTCTACAAGCAGCAAGTAAGATTGTCATATTTTTTACATCTTTTATAATATTTAGCTTCTTTCCAAAAATCAAAGTACAATAATGTTTTACATAATTGCCTATAATTCTTTTATATACACGTTGTGCGACAGATAGCGTTTTGTAATTATATAACCAAACAGAATTTATTTTATATTTGTTTTGTGTATATTTCAGGAAAGCAGGCAACATGCATCGCGGCCGTTGCGGTGCAGATAAATCATTACTCATCCCAACCAGAAATCATCAAAGATCCCACTACAGCTTCTTTAAAGAGAGGTACAGGTGGCCGTAGTTCCTTCAATGGAATAGTATGTACGGTGTTTGGCGCAGGTGGATTCGTTGGACGCTATGTGTGCAATCGCCTTGGCAAGATTGGCACTCAGGTACATACAAAATAAAGATAGCTGACAATTTCTATATTGACAGGCAATTTCGATTGCAATATAATAATATAACTGAAACTTAATATAATCAGCTGTTTGATTGTCATGTTTGATTTACAGTTAATAATACCATACAGAGGTGATATGTATGATTGCTTCCGTCTGAAACTCTGTGGAGATTTGGGACAAGTCTTGTTTCATCCGTTTCATCTGCGTGATGATGAATCGATAAGAAAATGTATCAAATACTCCAATGTCGTTATCAATCTAATTGGACGAGATTGGGAAACTAAAAACTTCACTTTTCACGAGGTGCATGTTGAGGGAGCCAGAAGACTCGCTAGACTGTGCAAGGAAGCTAATGTTAAGCACTTTATTCATGTGTCTGCGTTAAATGTGGGTGACGAGGTGGAGGTGAGTTTTAAATCACATTTCTATATTAATTTATGATTTAATAATTTCATGTTTTAATAATATTTCTGTATTAAGTCACATATATTGAAAGGCGGTTCTGAATTTCTTCGTACAAAATGGGAAGGCGAGTGTGCAGTGCAAGAAGAGTTTCCCGAGGTTACAATTATTCGGCCAGCGGATATATGGGGTCAAGAGGATCGATTTTTAAGTTTTTATTCTGGCATATTGAGACATCATTTCAGGTAATTTTGCATAGGAATAAATTTTCTTGTATATTAAAAATTATACTCTTTGACAATGCAATTTGTTTATAGGAGTGTACCGTTATGGGAAAAAGGTGAAAAGACGGAAAAACAACCAGTAGCTGTATATGATGTCTCTGCAGGTATTACGGCTATTGCAAGAGATCCTAGAAATACAGCTGGCAAAACTTATCAGTTTGTTGGGTATGAACGAGTATATTTGTACAAATTTATTGCTATCATAATTGTTTTTGCAAAATGTGAATATTTTGTTTGCATAGGCCGAAACGTTATAAACTGTCTGAATTACTTGACTGGTTCCATCGAATACGGATACGCGATCCAGTCGAGGATGGCTACAAAAGGATGCACTTAAAATACGCTCCACTTTTCCAACTTAAAATTACTTTGAACGAATACTTAAGTCCTGCGTATCCACTCGGAAATTTACAGTGGGAACGTTTCGAAAGGGTATATTTTAATTTTCCTATAAAAGAAC